AAAAATATTATATGGAATTGAACGAAAATGAAAATTTGCTTGATAATTCAACTACGCTTGTTGGAGAACAATAAAAACACTACACTCAACAAGCCACCAATAAAACTCAACTGCCTAACCTATAACCAAAGTCTCCTTTTAATTTGTTTTTAAAAAAAGCGCTTGACAAACTTGCCCCGCATGCCGAAGTTGCCCCGGTCTCCCCTATATATTTAATAACTTTATAAATATTCACTATTTATGATGTTCCAAACCTGCATATTATATACGGCATGTTATACCTTAAGTTAGTATATAACATACCCTAATGTATGGTTGACTGAATATTCGATTAATAAACAGCATATAAAACTAGCAGATAAACTTGGGCAAAAAATTATAACTATAAAATCTAAAATTATTAGATTTCCTACTTCTAACGCTTCTATTCTACAGTATTATATTATATTATATTACTTGATTTATATAACTACAAATGTTATCTTACGTAAGGGTTTATCAAATCAAATAGTTTATTTATAACATTTTAAAATGCTTATAACCTTTGTAGTAATACAGTATACATCAAATTCTATGATATATCGAACTTTTTAACGTGATATAGATGCTGTATATTATATATATGAAATCACTTTAATCGAAAAACTTTTTGGTTGACAGTCTCACAGCACTTCCGGTTGAAAAAATAAGACTTTATGCTCCGCATTCTATCATGTTTCTGATCGTTTTGTGTTTTTATCTCCGTTTGGCTTCGTCCACCTCTTTTCATTTGACACCTCGCGCCAGCACGCAACGTCCCAAGCGATCACGCAACATTTGGTTGACACGCGACGCCAGTGTCAACCAAAAAGTCCAACTTCAATCGTCAACGCTTGATATTTAAAAATTTTTAAAAAGTCTCGGCGGGCCGTGTGTTTGACAGGCCTGCTTTAAGGCAAAGCAACAGTTAGTCGATCTCTCCTACCTGACGATACCTGTATACATATACAGGTATTTGTAAAGCTGATATTTAAAATCCAATTAGAGCTCAGGAAAAGTTTAGTCTATATATAACGCGTAATCTTTTTATATTTAATTATCCTATATATTAATTACAAAAATTCCTGAATCAACTCTAATGTAATTAATCTATGTAAAATTTAATGAATTTACATAAATTAGATTATCAGATAATTATTAGATTGTAAATATAAAACCTTACCTCGAAATATTTTATATAGGCCTACAAGCGTACTGTTATGTTACTTGCTAATACGAAGGTCAATACTAAAAAATGACGAGTTTCGATTTAAAGAACCTGTTTAAATTTTCAGAAATTATTTCCTCGAAATTATAATTCTCAGAATTTTTTTTAAATATTATGAGATAAAATTGAAGTTATATAAATTAAAATTGCGTAAGTTATCCTCTTCGCATAAAGCTCCCTGTTGATTTTAGTCAAATTCATTATGTAAACTACATTATATAGTTATATTAGGATATTATATCAATTTAGGAAAATTAGTAATAATGTACACTATACGTACAGTTATATTGATATATATCGCCTTGTAATTGCGTGTTTAACGACGAATTTGACGTTTGTACGACGGTTGCTCTTTCGAAACTGCTCAAACGATTTGAATCCCTTTCTGAATACGAATAGAATCCATCTGGATCTAGGTAATGACGCCAACGGTCTTTTAAAATTCGACCCCTGATAGACCATATACAAGGTCAAACTTCACAATGTTAAGTCTATGGGAAAAGTTGGCACCAGAACGCAGCTCGTTTGATTTTAATGGAACTTTTCGATAAGAATACGTTGATTTGACTACGCTAAAGTTTTTCTTTTTCTTTTTTTATTCGAAATAAACA